GCCGGGACAAAGGGACCGGGACAAAGGGACCCGCAGCGCCCGCCGAGATGCCCCCGGTGCCCGCCTGGCGGAGGGAGGAGGAGCGGTGCGCGGGAGTGAATACAAAATCCAGGCTTTATTTGTACAAAAAATACCCTTTTGTCTCTCTACCCCCCCCAAGGTTTTCCCTTGGAACCCTGGTTCCCCCCAGCACGCGGAATGGCCGCCCCGGCCCCGCGAGGAGGCAAAGCAGCGCCGAGGGCACCAACCCCGGTGATAAAGCTGAGGGAAGCCCCAAGGAGCTGCAGGGACTGAGCACCCCAAACCCACCGAATCCCACCATGCCCGGGAGCCGGCACAGAGGACAAAGTGAAAAGGGCCTTTGCTGCCTCTGGCACCTCCTCGTTCAGCCCCCTCGAGCCTTCAGACTCCTTAAATCCCAGGAAACGTTCCCAAGGAGGAAAGAACCCACCACGCAAAGGACATCGAGGGTCACCTGCAGCGTGAGCGCACTGAGCCACGTGGTTCGGAGCACCAGCACCACAGGCTCTCCTCAGCAGCATTTGAAAAGGAACAGTCATGTCTGTGCTCAGTCTCTGCACCAAAACATAAAGCTACAGGAGCACCAAAGGTGTTGGCTGAGTCTCACCACATCGGGGTCATTGGTGTTACCAACACTGAAGTGTAACCAGGCCAAACCGAGGGGTTCGGGCGCTGTTTCACCGCCAGTGAACACCCCCACAGCCCCCCCCGACAGGGCTCTGTGGCAGAGGGGCTATTTTACAACGTACAAAACCAAGAACACAAAAACCATTACCACAGACCCAGGTACAACTTACACCAACCCCACTACAGCTACTCTACAAATCTCAGCTCAACACCAGCTTCGCTCTGACCATGGATCTCCACCTGACAACACCTACAGAGCTGCAAGCCCCATGGTGCCTCTAACACTGGCTATGGAAGATCTCCCACCCAGGTCTCTGCAAACACCTTCTCCCCATTTCAGGACAGACATGGGCTGAACAAGCAGCTGCAGTGTCAAAACACCCTTCTCTGACTGCAGAGAGAGGTGCCCCAGCACCACCACACAGGGGTTTGAAGTCCCCTTTGACAGGGGAATGGAAGCAGGCACTGCAGTGACATGGGGCTAAGCAAGGCCACCGCGGTCCTTGGTAAAACCAAAGCTCATCTCCAGTGCTGAGCTTTGCCCTGTGGCCGCTTTCCAGCAACTGGGATGTGCCTGACAATACTTTGCAGTTAAAAAGAAGTTCTGGTCCGTTTTGGAGAGGAGCTTCACAACATATCCAGGGAAAAATAACGGAATAAAATACTGGAGCAGCAGCAACCTGAGCAGCTGCTCCCCCATGAGTGCTGGTGAGCCCTGAAGAGCGAGAACAGGGAGCCCTATAACTACATCATAAAAACTACATAGAGTTGATAGTTTCCTACAAACTATGCGATTTAAAATTCCTTTTCTGTGTGACTTCACGCTGGAAACCCAGGAGAAGTCAGACAGAACAGTCTGGAAGCGACTGTGAGGAGGAGCAGAGGGTGCAGCAGCCCCGCAGCGCGCTCTGCACGCAGAACACGGGCAGCACCTCAGCAAGGCACCGAGCTCAGCGCCCCGGGAACCACGGAGCCCATTCCAGTTCCAGTCAGAACTCATCCCGTAACCTCGGTGGGTGATCCATGCCAAAGAACGAGGAGGGTTTTCCGTGCACATCACGCTCCCTTTTCACAAAGGCTGTGAAGGAGGAGACGCAGTTCCCAATAAAGTGATCGGACTGGCCAAGAATGTACAAGTCAACCTGAGGCACCTCCGGCTGCAAGCTCACAACCTTGACCTACAGAGAAAGGAGGAACACAGAGGAATCCAGTCAGCTATGATTACCACCCAAATGCCTTGGCATAGTATTAGGAATGGGAATACACAGCAAAAACAATGGATTCTGTCTTAAGTTGACCTAGAATTCATTTATGAATGGATAAGGGATCAAAACATTTCTGAAAATCACCTTGGTTTATTTAACCAAGCTCTTTTCCAAGGAGAAATTTGCTACATGCAGGACAATGCTCTTCAACCTCTAGGAAAGGAAGAGCTCTACAGTCTAATTTTTCTTGCTACGAGCAAAGTTCACTTTGCAATGCCAATATGAGCCTCGGAATAACACATCACACAACCCCCTGCCTGCTGTCCATGGCAGCGAGAGACCAGGATCCAAGGGTGGGTTTTATTAAAGCCCTCCAGCTGTGGGGGTTCAGACTCACCCTTCCCTGGAAGAACTGCTCTATTTCTGTTTTGTAGGGCTCTGAATCAGTAGCGATATAAACAGATTTAGCTTCTGTCTTCTCCACCCAGAGCTTGAGCGCGCGCTTGATCTCCACCAGGTCAGGCAGGCACATGTCCATGGTGAGAGGGGCTGCAGTGCTCCGCTCGTAGCCCACACACTGTGGGGAAGCCATGAAGTGTGGCCCGGCCGTCCCATCCTTCAGCATATTGCAGGCATTTTTCTGGTGGCAGAGGAGAAAACACCACGTTTGAATGGCAGATGTGACCCAACTGCACCCCCAGCTCCCCCCCAGTGTTACAGCCCATTGCGAGGAGGAATCCCAATGGCATTGCTCATGCACAGAGAAGTAATGCAGTGGGGCTCAGGCTTTGGCTCCCAGAGCACATCCTCCTCGGGCAGCTCTTCCCACAGAGCGTTACCAGTTGTCACAGCAGCACCGGATCCATACCCAGTCCGAGCCGATCCGCAGGTGAATTCCCACGTAGGGCCGGACCAGCAGAGCTTGAATGTAGGAGTCTCCTTTCTTCACCATCTGATCGGACCACACCATATACTTGTGGAGTGGCCGGTGCTCCTCTAAGACTGGGAACTGGGCTGGAGCTCCAGGCAGGGCGAGTACAGGGTGCTCAGAGGGGGGAAACCTAAGGAAAAGACCCCAAAACCATCAGTCTGAACCACGACACAACCCTGCCTTCATCCCCTAGCACAAATACTGTCATGGCTGGACTGGAAACTACAAACCCCTGGAATAAGCAACACTTCTTCCTCCAAATTTAGATCCATTCAAACCATTTCCCATCTGAACACAACACTGAAGACAACTCGGGTACCACAGTTCATGAGCAGCAACTGAGAACCAAACAGGTTTTGAAGATTAATTATGTATGTAATCACTAAGTCCCATGACTAACTATGACTGAATGGATTATTTATCAATATAATCAACTAAATGTGAAAGAAATCAATCAGCCTAACAGAGTCCACACCTCATACTGCCCACAGAAGAGTATACCACGGGAATTTGTAATGGAAAAAGCATGAAGAGATTTAATTATATCATTAACCACTTCAGTCTCTCCCCCAAAACACAGAGGTTTTGTGCCATGATGAGCACAGCTGTTTTCATGAGGTGCTCAAAGTGAGAGCTTTTCCACCTTCTTACTACCTTTGGATCCAGTGGTCCTTGTACGCAGGACTGAAGGAAATTCCCTTGAAGAGCTCAGACTTATCGAAATCCACTTTGAACTGATTCCAGAAGGGACCGAATGGGTTTCCATCCTGCAAGGGGAAAACAAGCATTTGTTCAGAGCAGAGCCTAGAAGAGCACAAAGCTGAAGAGCTGCTCTGTCACAGGAGGGAAGTGGAGGAATGCAGCAGTTTGTCGCAGATCAGCTCCACGGGAAGGACTTGAACAGGTTAAACCAAGAACTAATGCAAAGGCTGCTCAAAAGAGTGAGAACATCACAGCTCCCAAACTTGTATTTTAAAGTTGCTTTAAAACCAGCTGGGTTGGACCACAGAAAGGAAAGGGCAGAGAGCAGGGGATAAGCTGTGGGTCTGTTCTCCTTGAAGCCACAGTCAAGTCTGAGGTGACGAAACCTACGTACACAGCCAGCACACCAGGACGTGTGAGAGAGCAAAGCAGGAGGCGGGAGCCAAGGAGCGCAGCACGGGCTTAGGGGATAACGCCTCAACCCCCGAGTCACCGGCCGCCGGGATGAGGCAGCCCTTCCCTTGTGCCCGGCGGCTGCCGGGGCCGCGGGAGCAGCTCACCTTCATGGGACAAGTGGCTTTGTCCGCGCTCCTCTGCGCCG